GATGACTTTGTTACACAGTATTTTGCTAAATTTGTTTATTACTTTTAGAAGTAGTTTTTTCTACCTATAAAACACTAAAGTTATATAAAGTTATATATCAACAGTGATAGTTTGACTTTCTCTTTTCAAAACAGGATGCATTATATATCTTTCTTTTGTCTGATTATTCAGCTAAAACTATGAATACTAATTTGACAGGTAGTGAAAGTGAGTATAGAAATTAGAAATTTGTGTGAAGAAGATAATGGTGATATTGAAGTTGTATAGAACAGTTTGTAGCATAAAGACTTGGAAATCTCATCTGTGTGGGTGCAGGCATACAGAAAATGTTTCTATCAATCTAGTAATTGATTACTATCAGAGTAAAATAGTGATGTTACCCAGAGAAGAAATGAAAAAATGGAATGAAAATAAACCAAATGTTTTCTGTAGTTTCCTTATTATTGACATAGTTTGAAAGGTATAAATTTCTGGTTTATAGAAAAAAAAATAAGTTTGATGAGTACTATAGTTTTGATTTGCTTTTAGAAATCTAGATATTGATGCAAATAGCCATAACTTTCCTTGATGTTCTTGAAACCATTTTTAGATTTATTTATTTTATGGGTAGGGCATGCCTACGTGTGCATACATATTTGTATCTTGTGTACCTGCCAGCTGTATATCGAAGTTAGAAGAGGGTACCAAATCTTGTGGATCTGGAGTTCTAAATGGTTGAGTCACCTAGTGGGTACTGCAAATTGAATTCATTGCCCCTGAAAGAGTATCAAGTACACTTAACATTTAAGATACAACCTCAGTCCTATTGCTGTATTTTATAATTCCAATCTGGATTCCAGAGTTCAGCCTATGTACTTATATTTTCAAATATTGCTGATGCAATTATATTTCTGTAGCACTAGATTGGCAGATGTAAACAAATGGTCTCAGAATCATTCATGTCTGAAGCATGTTCTTGGCAAAGAAAGGTAAATCAACACTTTGATGGAGTATTTTTGCTAAAATATATTTTCTTCGTAAAATCTTTACTATTTGTTTTTCCCAGGGAACATGATCAGGTATTGGAAGGGGAACAGGAGTGAAGCCCTGAAGGCCAGAAAAGTGAATGGAAGTATGCAACCTCAGGAGGTAGAAAGTGGGAGGACTCTGTAGAATGTACCAGAGGCCTGGGAGATGAGATATTCTCAGAACTCAAAGGGAGGGTCCTTAGATGCTGAACAGTGGAGAGAGGGAACTTGTAGAGTCCACCTTCTGTAGAAAGACAGAGCGCCAAGTGGAGGGGTGAAATTGCCATCTCACAGTCAAAAGCTCTGACTCAGAATTGTTCCTGTGTAAAAGAACTACAGTGACAATAATGGAGAAGAGACTGAGGGAAAGGAAGTCCAGTGACCAGCTCAACTTGAGATGCATCTCTAGGTGAGGGTCCAAGGCCTGACACTATTACTGATGCTACAGAAACGTAGCATGGCTGCCCTCCGAGGGGTCCAACAAGCAGCTAATTGAGATAAATGAAGATACTTAGACCCTACTAATGAACTGAAGTTGGGGAACTCTGTGTTAAATTAGTGCAATGCTGTAAGAAAACTGATAAGGAGAGTAGACCAGCAGTCTCAACAAACCAGGACTCCCGAGATCTCTCAGACACTGAGCCACCAACCAGGAAGCATACACTATCAGGTACAAGACCCCCATCATGCATACAACAGAGGACTGCATGGTGGGGCCTCAGTGAAAAATACGCTTCTAAACTGAGATACTTGAGGCCTCAGGGAGTTGGGAGGCCTGGCGGGCTGTGATAGGAGTGTAGTGGGGTAAGGGAGTGAGGACAACCTCTTGGAGACAGAGGGGAGAAGGAAAGGGATGAGGAACTGTTACAGGGCAGACCAGGAGGAGGATAATGAATGGACTGTAAAAAATGTATTAAAGTTAAATGTTTAAAAAATATTTATGTTAAAAAGTCAACATTAACTAACGCCAAACTGAGTTTTCAAAATTGACGTGAACCTAATATTTTCATCAAATGCATCTATTAAAACTTGCTGAAGGTTGATAAAAAGTATCACAATGAAAGTAATGACAATATGTACCAGAAGAGCTGAAACCAATCCCATAAGGGGATCATCTGTGGACAGAATTATTTAAGGTCTGTTTTTATTCAGTATTAACTAATCTTTTGAATTACTTCAAATGAAAGCAGTGAAAGTATTAAGACAGCACAATGCTGAAAATGTGTTAATTTTCCTGTGCAATTAGCAAAACTCTTTGTCATATTTCCAGAGCAGAGATAATCCCTCCCATAACTGCTTAAACCCATGTCAAAATGTCAACAGAAGCAAGAAATATTTTATGTAATCAAAATCTTATATAAATGCTAAACAGGAGAATTAAGCTTGCTAAGAATATGCTACCAGCTCACTCCTGAGAGATTTTGATTAGAGGCAAACTTCAATTATCTAAGTTATTTTATCCCTAACTTAATGTATACAAATTCCTGGACAAGTGAGCAGATACTCTGTCCGTGGACAACAGTACTGAGGTTAGTGAGAGACTAGAATAGAAACAGGACAGAGCTGTTTTCAGTTCTTGTTTGGTGATGAGTTGAGTGAGCATCTTCCATATTTTGGGTTGAGTTATGGGATTTGCAAATATTTTATACCATTTTATAGATTGCCTTTTCATTTTCTTGAGTGTTTCCTTTCCTGTGCTTTTCATTTTGATGTAGCAACAATTCTTCATTTTTTTTCCTGTAGTTGTATTTTATTGAGAGGCATTTAAGGGGTAATGTGGAAACCTAGTGCAGTGGAAACTTTCTAAAATATATGAAGGCAATCCTAATGATGTCTCCAAATAACAGGAGAGATACAATGCCAACTGGCCATTCCTTGTTACCAAAGAAAGCTTCTTGTATTAGGTCCGGGTTACCTCCAATTAAATTGATGATTAAATGGGCCTCATGGAAATATGCAAACAACACAGGCTGTTACAAAGATGATAGGTTACTCTCCACAAACTGACAACAAGACCCCATTGCTGAAGATAACACCAGTGCAACTACCAACATAGCTGTTTCATAGAGAAATACAGCTGGCAACTACATAGAATCTTCACCCCTATGTTCAGCAATCTTTAGTACAGGAAGGTACTTTGATGCCTAACACCCCCCCCCAAAAAAAAAGAAAGAAAGAAAGAAAGAAATATAAACACAAACCCAACCACAAACCCTTTCACCTACAGTCTGTCTTTCCTACAAAATATGCTAGGGCAGTGATGGCCCAAAACACTGTGGAAGTAGACAATGTCTGATTTGAAATGAGGCCTCCTCCACAGGATGGAAATCATACATAACACTGCTTAAGTGACCCAGAACCAGAGACTAGACAGACAGAGAACTAGGGTGAAACCAAATATTTCTGGTCCTTTAAAAAATAGTGATAAAATAACTAAAACTTTAAAAAAAATAATAAAGTAACCCATAATGATATTATTCTATACTTACAAATCAGTGCCTTATTCAGCCATTATCAGAGAAGCTTCTTCCTGTAGCAGATGGGAACAAATACCCACAGTCAGACATTACAGAAAGAGAAATTTCAAAACCTGCAGCTCTAAATGGGATTTCTCCATCAAATCTCTTCCCTCAGTGTTCAAGGAATCCTTCAGAAGAGGAGGTAGAAAAAGTCTAAGAGTCAAACGTGATGGAGCACACCAAGAAAATAAGGCCTTCTAAGTTAATGGAGCAAAGCTTATATGAACTCAGAAACTCAGAAGCAACAAACACAGGAATGACAGGAGTCTGCACCAGGTCCTCAGCATTATATTATAGCTTTCAGTTTAGTATTTATTAATATAGTACCTCTGAGGGTGTGAACATATGGGTCTCAGATTCTTGTGCCTTCTCTTGAGATCTTTTCCTTCTATTAGTTTGAGTTGTGCAGCTTCAATATGATAGGCTTTGTTTTATCTTATTGTATTTTATTGTATTGCTATCCATTTGAACCCTGTTCTTCTCTAATGAGTGACAGAAAGAAAGTGGATCTTTATGGGGGAAGTACAGAGGTAGAACTGGGAGGAATATAGGAAGAGGAGATTCTAATCATGTCATATTGTATAAGAAATGAATCTATTTTTAACAAAGGGTAAAACATTGCATACTATACTAAATAAAATAAGCTGGACATTGAACACTAAATCTACCTAATCTCAATTATATGTGGGCTCTAAGAAAGTACAACTCATGTAAACAACATGTAGGATGGTGATAACCAGAGGCTACTGGTGACCTGGGGGATCTGAGGAGTTTGGTTAAAGAATATAAAGTTCAATTTTAGACGAATTGGAAGTGTTAATGATGGCTGTGAGGAGAACTAGATTACACTTAAAAGTAATTGAAGAGAAGATAAGCGTTCTCATCACATACAGGCAACTAAGGAAATAGTTTTGTAATTTGATTAGAGTAACCATTTCCAGATGTATATCTTTATAATGTAATCACATTCTGCACTGAGGAATATATATCCATTTTTTTTCATTAATTGTGCCACAATGCACCTAGGAGAAAGGAAAAGAAAGAGTTCTTGAGTGGAGCTAGAAATTGTTGCACAGATTTGTTGACCACTTTATATGAACCATTTGATCTGTCTTTATCTTAGCTTCTTTATTGTTAAAATTATGAGAACATTGACCTTATGTTGCACAGCGTTTGGGAAGAATTGCTAATAATTCACAGCAAAGTTCTCAAAAGTGTAGAGTGCTTAAATCAGAGGAAGAGATGAATACACACACACACACACAAAAATATAGTTAGTTATGTGTGTATACATTGTTTTTGTGTGTACAACAATGTCATATATATAGTGTGATGTATGATATATTTGAGGATATATATGACTGTGATATATACAATATATATACATAACTGTGCATATATACTATAATATTTTTACTTACAATGTTTTCATTGAAGAGTTAAAAAAAATACTGAAAACTGTCTGTTTTTTTAGGATTTTTAATTCTAAAAAACCAGAAAGCTCAAAATGGCTGAAAGAATGAAGCTTTACTATTACACATAAGAGGCTCTCTGAGGTAAGAGGCTTTGTCCATTCAGTGACTAAGTGATGTCATTTTATATAGGGCTCCATGCATCCCTTTTGTATGAGCTTTTGCATGTTCTCATTCAGAACAAGGTTGTGGAAAGAGGACAAAATTGAGCAGAAATAAGATAGGGATATAAGAAGACAAAACTAAGAAATAATAGTCTGATGACTCATGCTATAGTTCTGCAAGGCATGTGAAATATAAAATATAAAATTCTTTCCAATGCATGCTTTACCATCACAACTCCTGCCCTCAAAACAGGGTTGCCATGCCGTGAGTGTTGTTAGTTGAGAAAAGAGAGGAAACTAGTTTCCAGAAAATTCTTTTTGTGCATTTTGAGAATAGTGACAGCAAACACAAACTCTGCATGAGGCTGAAGGTTCAAAAAAAGAGCTGAAACTCTTGCTTTGGGAAAATTCTCACTTTGATAAAGTGACAGAAAGTTACCTTGGGCCTCAACTTGTCCTTACTCCCTTCTTCACTGTCCTGGATGACAGCATGAGCTTGGTCCTCTGTGGACACTGTGTTTGACAGCTTGAGGGCAGCTGATACACAGAGACAACAGCTTTCTAAAGGTTAGTTTCACTGGACAACTCTACCAGTCTCACTTGGGCAGTCAAGCATCCTCAGATTAATAGTTTCCCAGCAAGCCTGCCTTTATTATTATTTTTTACTTTTATCAGTGTTTCAGTTCACAGCTGTAGCTAGCCTAGAACTCACTATGTAGACACAATTGGCCTCAAATTTACAGAGACTGCCATATCTTTGCCTACTGAATATTAGCATTAGAGGCATAGTCATCACACCCACTGTGTTTTGAGTTTTGGTTCTACCTGCTCAAACCTTTACTGGTTAAACTGCTCCTACATCTGTGACTATTCAGTTTCTACAGTAATTTTCCTTATCAGTGATACTTTTAGAGGCTCAGTAATACTTATGGATTTTTCTCTTTCTAATCATAGAATATTATTATAATGTGACAGTTTATGCCCATACAATGTCTTTTCCCACTGTCTACAGCCCTACAACTTTTTCCTCCTAATTTTATGTGCTTTGCTTTTAAACCTACTGTGTCCTTTGAGCACTACACCTTTGCATAAGGGCCATCTACTGGAACATGAACATCCTCTCAGAGACCACATTCCTGAAGGAAACTGAACCTTCCTTATCTAGCAGACAGCAACTGCCAATAGATCCTCAACTAATGGTGGAAGTCATTATCTTTTCCATCCATCATGCTATAATTTTTGACTGGCTTGATCTCATGCAGTTCTTGAGCATGATATCACAGCCACTGTGAGTTCATGTGTGCAATAGTCCTACCATACTGTCACCTCCAGAAAGCACTCTTCATCTTAAAACAATCTCTTTTAATCTCTCTTTCTCCATAATAACCTTTTCTAGAATGATCTCCTATTGTCGGTGGAAGAAGGTATGATGTGCCACTTATATATGACAAGTTTGGAGTCTCCTAACATTTGTAAACTGGTTAGTTGTTGGTCTGTTTACTAATCACCATCTACTATAAATGGAACATACTGATGATTGCTGAGAGAAGCACTAATCTATGGGTACAAATATAGGATCTTACTAAGCAGTTTTTCACTGTGTCCATTAACAGTATTATGTTCTCCACTATGGCCATTGATCTAGCCAAACACATAGTTTTGGCCCAATTATGCTATCTACCCTGAATTATATCTATAGCACTCTTGGGCATATTCTCAAAGAACAAACTTTCTCAATCATGCTGATTCCTTCTCCATTCATGATAGGCAGAGGATGAACATAGCCTAGATATTCATCAACTGATTGATAGATAATGCAACTATGGTACATAAATATAAGGAAATATTACTTAGCTTTAACAAAAAATGAATTTAAGAAATTCTCAGTGAATGGATGGAGATGGAAATAGTAATTCTGAGTGAGTAATTCCATCAGAAACACAAATGCTGCATGGTTTCTTGGTTATCCTTGAAAATTTAGATAGTTGTAGTTAAATTGGAATATCTGTAGAAGTCAGAAATCTAGTAAGGAGACTATAAGCTTACATTTTTCAAAATCTATTTTTAATTAGGGTAGTTAAATATTTAAACTCCCTTCTAGCCCACCACTTACCAGAGGTAGTGGAAAGGAAGTTTTAATAGAGAAAAGGAGAATGTGGATCTGTTTAGAAAAATATTCTTTATAGCAAATCAAATCTGCATTGTCAGGATATCAGCAATTAAGTTCACATGAATCAGCAACGGTAGCTTGAACCACTAGCAAATGCCATCAGAAGATATTTATGGATATTTAAAGAGAACAGGGTACTTAACAGGTGATGCAAAGACAGAAGAGGAAATAATAAATTTGAATTAATAAAAATTTGCTAATAATTTACTTTGTAACATTAAGTGTTACAAATGTTGCAAATGTTAAGGGTAACATTTAATACAAGGATTATGCAATTATTAATATATTTTATATCTATTGACAAAAATACATTTAGAGATTAGATAATTAATGGATTATAATACATACTCATGTATCTGCTTTATTTGGCCATTACAAATTGTAGCTTCAGTGAAGTAAATACATGACTATCTTAAATGTTGTACACAGAATATGATATGTTTATTCATGAAGTACCAGGAATATTAGGTTTTTGGTAAATTCTGACTTTGTTAATAGCTAACAATATTAACTGTGTGCTTCATTACTTTATTTACAGATAAGCCATATGAGATAGAATGTCTACTAAAAATAGTTGTGGTATCAAGTGATACCTGTTTTGATTAATGTTTTCATGTTAACTTATGTATTAGTTGGGCTATTATTTCTTTAATAAATCATTTTTTTGAAAGCCTGTTGGGGTGGGAAGAATTTATTTGGCTTATACTTTCTTTTTATATTAATTTATTTACTCATGTTATATTCTAATCACAGCCCGGAGCTCATCCCCCTTCCCATGGCCCCTCCCTCAACCCTACCTCTCCTTCTCTGAGAAGGGTAAGGACCCCATGGCTATCAACTCACCCTGGTACATTAAGTCACTTCAAGACTAGCTGCATTGTCTCCCACTGACTCCAGACAAGGAAGACCAGTTAGGGGAATAGAATACAGAGGCAGGAAACAGAGTCAGGGATAGCCACCACTTTAGTTGTCAGGGGATCCATATGAAGACCAAGCTGCAAATCTGCTACATATGTATAAGGGGCCTTGGTCCAGCTCATGCTTGCATTTTGGTTGATGGTTCAATCTCTGGAATGGCTCAAGATTCTAGGTTAGTTGACTCTGGTGGTTTTCTTCCGGAGTCTCTATCCTCTTCAGAACCCTTAATCCTTCCCTCAACTTTTTCACAAATGCAGAGCTATAAAGTTCAGTCCCAATAGATACCTCTAAGAAACAAACCCCTTATGTAAGGCTCAAGAAGCACAGCATGGTAAGGGCTGAAACTATTGTAAGAACCAGAGAACTAGAGAACTTTCAGTGAGACTGTGTCTCTGAATAACGCCAGAAGCCATACAGATGAAGTGTTACCAACAGGACTGCCTATACACGAGCTAAACAAGGTCAGCAATAGACATTACAAAATAGATGTGGGAAAGCCCATGAGGCCTCAAACCTAAACAAAGAGCTACAGGCAATTAAGGAAAGGTGAAAAGGGGAGATATAGTCTTCTACAGGTAAAAGCTTAATATATAGTTGCTTGAACCAAATGGGTAGCCCCCAAAAAAGTATATATAAAATAGCATAATTCACACTGAGAAATTGTTTAAGAATATATATGTGCACACACACACACACACACACACATACAGGTATGCTTTGTACAATTAGTGAAAAAGAGGGCATGAATTGGAAAGAGAGAAAGTGGTATATTGGAGAGTTAGGAGGGAAAAGAAATGCGGAAATGCAATTATAGAATAATCTGGAGAAAGCAAATCATCTTAAAACAATAGAGACGATCAGAAGTTGACCTATTATTCCTTATGAGAAAGCAAATAATAAAAAGAAGAAATTCAGTTTAAAATGAGTTATTTTATATCCTAATTAGCATTAATCATATTGCACAGAAAGAATTGAACCTGAAGGACATTAGCACTTATCAATGAATGAATATAATGAAAGGTAAATTAAGATATCATTAACATTATAAAATCAAAGTCTTCACTGTTTGTGTCAAAATGTGAATTTTAAGATGAAATAAAAATATCCGTTTAGAAATTGAAAGTAAAAAGATGTAAATGTGAGACCAGCTCCTACTGAAAAGAGTGCCATGAGCTGCTCAGAGAGCCATGCAGCATTAAAGGTTGATTTCATTAAGAATCAGTTCAATATATAGCATTTTAAAAACTTGCATATGTACTTAGTAAGTTTTTTCATTGTTGTTTTGTTATTTGAAATTCAGGTATGTTGATATGTGAATCAATAATTATTGGTGAATAATATCCAGGATTCATTCATGCATTCTCTAATTACTTTTTTTTTTAGTTTTGAATTTACTACTATATTCTTTTGTGAAATACATAGTGGATATAAACAGTATGAATGTTTCTTTAAATATATAAGTTACCAATAGGACATTCATAAAATAATTATACTATACTGCATTATATATGCTACCCAGTAATTCATCTTACTAATTTTTTATATAATATGATGCTTGTTTAAGAATCCCACATCATTATTTTAGTTTCTATTTCTTTTCATGAAAAATATTACTGAGTATACTGTATTGTGCTCATTGCTCACTCATGTATTTTATTTAATTTTTTTTGAAATACTTACACCATTGCATTACACAAATTAATTTTTGAAGACGGAGTTGCTTTGACTGATAAACTAGAGTGAGCATATCTCTCAGCAATTTACCCTTATTTTATGTGTTGTGTTTTCACTTACCAGTGTCTTTTAAATAATATAGATATTCTATTTTTCTGAAAACCATTGCATAGTTACTATTTTATTTTATAATTCATGCTGAGTATACCATCCAAAAA